CAAAAATTTAATTTAAACATTTTTTTTACATAGTAAATCATGTTTCTTGGTTGGATACTTAATTTTTGTACGCAAAATTTTAATAGGAATTGCTGCTTCACATCTATTGCTGGTTTCATAACTTTCTTCAAAATCTGTAGAATCATCTGATAATTCTGATTGTTGAAATGATTCTTCATTTACTATTTAATGGAATGTAACCATACATCAAACACAGGACGTCCTGTAGCTAATTCTTGATTATTGTTAAATGAACTTTCAGGTATATCTAATTTTAATGTTTGCAAATTCATATTATATGATGATGATTGAGAAGGAATTGGTGAATTGGGTGAATTAGAATTTGGCATCATGAATTTTATTTACTCCATAATTTAAAATCTCCAAAATAATTGGTTTATTTTATTGTTTTGTTGATTTCGTCACTTTCGTCACTTTCATCATTTCGTCAAATTACTCAACCCTATTTCGTCACGTTTATTTTCGTCACCCAACCTTGATGGCAGTAGCACGTTGACGAACTGACTTGAGTTTATCTTCTAAATCCTTTGTGTAATCATGGCGAATTTTTTCTAGATGCTTCTTAAGCTCCCTGGCTTTATCAAATTTTTCCAAGTCATTTTGACTGATTTTTAAAAATAAAAAAAAAATGTCTGCTGTTGCTGAAGAAAAAGAAAAGGAAAAGAGACTAAAGATGTGTTTTAAGGATGGTGGTGGTTATCGCCCACCACTCGTCGTTACTCTAGTTTCATTAATACATTTTTTAACCAATATATTAAGAGAAAAAAAACCAAAAGAAGTTTTTTATTTGATCGACGCGCGTACACATTAATTATTTATCCTATTGGGGGTTTTTTTTTTGGTAGGACAGATGCAAATTGTTTTTTTTTTTTTTGGAAAAACAAATTTATTTTTTGACAGACAAAATGTGAGTGTTGTTGTTTGGTTTGGTTTGGGTCTCTTAAAGAATACGTGTTAATAACTAACCAGAGGTACTTTTTTTACTTTTATTGATATATAGTCACCTAAATCCGTTGAAACGAGATAATGATCGACAGGATCAACAGGAAAAATTTTAATAATAATAATAAAGTGAGGTGAGTAATTTTCTCACTGAATTGTTATGTAACTGAAGTTACGCTGCCACTAGGATTAAAAATGGAGAACTGGAAGCACTTCGTGGCCACAGCTTGTGAAAGTTACCAGTTGGGTAACCAGGCCCAATGTACGGTGGACGACCTGCTGTGAACGTCCTTCTCCGTTCGAAAAGCTAGCTGTTGAGCGAGTTTCCGGGGCCTGTGGTGAATAGGATACATGAAAAGAGAAATGGAAGCACTTCGTGTCCACAGCTTGTGAAAGTTACCAGTTGGGTAACCAGACCCAATATACGGTGGACGGCCTGCTGTCAATGTCCGACTCTATTCTTTACAATTAAGACACAAATGCTCACTAAAATTTTTTTTATTTACAATTTGTAGGTTGTGCCGTGGTGATGGTGGTGTTTTAGTGCAATGTAAATGTATGGAGTGGATAGGTAAATTATTATAATAATTATTTTTATCTACAGATTATAGTTACGCGATCATCAATTAATATTAAGTTAAATATAAGGGCCGGCTTATGTACGCGATCTTCAAGGCGTGTTATCTGACCACATTCCAGGTGTTGTAGGTGTGTTAGTAGCAACAACCAAAGATAGCTTTAGTTGGCGTACAAGAACAAGAGCCTTCCTATCTGGTTTTGGAAGACATAAATTATATTAATAATAAACGCTCTGACGGATCTTTTTATACATATGTAATGGATTTTATTAAAGTCTCTTTATTATTATTTATTGCATATCATACATATTATAAATAAATTATATATATATTTGATCTTTTGATCATATAAACAAATTTTTTAAGGAAACCTATTACCATTATCTTTTGAAATCCTTTTAACAATTTGATATAATTAATTAATGTACATATTGTTGTGTAAAAATAACTGATGGTTAGATATAAAATATTCAAAGCTCGTCACAATCTATTCTGAAATTCAATGCCGTCCTCATTTTCTATTCTGAAAATTCAATGCCATCCTCATTTGAAAATGAAGACTCTTATAAAAATACCTCAATTTCTGGAATTCTTGAATGATTTAAAATTCCACTGTAACGTAGAAAAATAGGCTGTGTTCTTGTGTAGAAATAACTTATGGTTACCTATAAAATATTCAAGGATCGTCACAATCTATTCTGAAAATTCAACGCCGTTATTGATTTATGGATGAAAGCTCCTATTAAAAGTATCTCAATTTCTGGAATTCTTGAATGATTTAAAATTTCACAGTAACGTAGAAAGATAGGCTGTGTTCTTGTATGGAAATAACTGATGGTTACCTATAAAATATCCAAGAATCGTCACAATCTATTCTGAAAATTCAACGTCGTTATTGATTTATGGATGAAAGCTCCTAATAAAAGTATCTCAATTTCTGGAATTCTTGAATGATTTAAAATTCCACAGTAACGTAGAAAGATAGGCTGTGTTCTTGTATGGAAATAACTTATGGTTACCTATAAAATATTCAAGTATCGTCACAATCTATTCTGAAAATTCAACGCTGTTCTTGATTTATGGATGAAAGCTCCTATTAAAAGTTTCGAATGGAGATATTCTCTTTCCCCACCTGCCAAAAAAAAAAAGAAATGGCTTAGTTGGCTATAAGTAAACACTTGTCCCAATCACAGAATAATTTTAGTTTTACCTTTCTTTTGCATTTCTCCTTAATGGGACAGCAAAGTCAATTGATATTATCATTACAAATAAATAGAGAAAATATTGCATCACCAAAGTAATAATAATACTATGACCATGCATGAAAAATGAAAATTTATTATATGGTTCTTTAAAAGACCAATAAATCTAACGTTTCTTTTTAGGTGTCAGATTTAATAAAATTATCTTTCCTGCATCTATGCAGGTTCTATCCATAACCTCCTACGTCGCCGCAACGAGTGATCACAGCAATGGCCGCAACCTCATCGAGTTGTAGCTTTAGAAGGGTGAAATCCATATCATAGATGAGCCTTCACAATCCCTTTCTCTGCACATTTACGGTTCATTTTCCGTACCTATTCCGCCAACAATACGGTCCATGTTCCATAAAAAGAGAAAGAGACAAATGCAATTTAACAGAATATACAGCCTCCCGATCACACTGTGAATCCCTCATTGCATTTTATCCTTTAGCGATCAGTGACAGGGAGTTGGATTGGTTGATCTTTAAAAATCAAGGAAAGATGATATGAATACCAGAATTTTTTTTTTTTACTCTTCCAGAGTAAATAAAATCACCAAAGATGTGTAAAGGTTGTTCGTTCATTGATCCTTGAGAATAAAAAGAGAAATAATAATAACCATTAAAACTACGTGGAAGACAGTGAAATTTTTTATAAACTTTTTTTTTTGTATAAAAATGAAGTCATTTATTTGATTGATGAAGCGTAAGAATATCTGTCACAATTACCTACCATCATCAAAAGTTGCAGTCAGCAGGTATCCTTAATGTGATGGATGGTTTGGGCGGTGCTTGTGGTGGTCTTTGAAATTTAATAGATGGTTTGTTAGATGATGCATTATCTATCAATTTTTATAAACTAATTTAAGATAATAAGTATGTATACCTTCATTACTTGCCACCAGTATCACTCTCGTATGGTGCAAGTCACTTAGTCCCACAACTTTCTGCGCCATAGTGGCCAATTTTGAGAAAAAATTTCCAATCATAAAAATTTTATGGTCACATGATTTTCAAAGATCATCACACATATTTATATGATTTATTAATTAGATAATATATAGTTAAATTTAAAATGAAATTTTTGACATTATCAATAGAAATAAAATGTATATATACTTCCATAAAATATACTTTTGGTGCTAGGTGGGAGATAGAAGTATATTTTGCACATTCTTTGATCAATGCAATAATCTATTTATTAAATTAAAATAAATGAACTTAGCTGTTCTTTGTATTTTTTTAATAATAAAGATAATTAATTATCTTCTCATTCATCTGGAAAATTCATGTGACAAAATATCTGTAATATAAGATAAATTTTTCAAATTTTTATTTTGTTTCAATTTGTCTATTTTTGATATTAACTTTTTTGTGTGTAACTGGCCATTTTAGGGCCAAGGATAGTAAATTTGGTGAACTTTGTGCAACTTTAAAGCTCAAATCCTCCACAACAACATGACATATCAATGAAATGAAATCATAATTTTGTAGAGGAAGGTCTTGGCTTCAAATACACGATTTATTTTTGGGGTATTGCATTTCTATTTTTGGAGAATTTGAAAATTCACATGACCAATAAAAAGTTGTGGGACTAAGTGACTTGCACTATATATACCTACTTGACTTTTTGTCAGTCAGACAGGATTTCACACTTACTGATTTTACTATATGGGGGCTGTTCTAGGAAAAAGTGGGTTTCTTCAGATTTTTTGTTTTTGAGATATTCATAAAAACAAAAAGCA